TATACTTCTATTCTACATTGCTTCTAGAAACAATGCCTTCTTAATGCTCCATATAATTAAAATTTCCCATACGCATGAGTAGTAAGCGACGGTGGATCTTCTGTCTAGGGGTGTAAAAGAGCCGAACACGAGCGAGCCCAAGCTCAGCTCGTGTTCGGCTCGTATATATTTATAGCCAAAAAAGTGTGTTCATGTTCGACTCGTTTGCTTAGCGAGCCGAACACGAGTCGTTCACGAACAAAGAGTCGTTTTGACAACCCTAATCACGTAACCATAAGATGTGAAGAATTGAAGCAAGATTTAAAAATTATTGTTTATATTAAAACATTATTCGAATCTAATTTAACAATTTTTATTCTATTTTCTTAATTAATAATTTTAATTGATTACAAATCTTTGCAGCCCTGTAGTCGATTAATTTTTTTAAAAATACTACTCATCAATATATATATATATATATACACACATAATTTTTGAGTATATATTATTGTTTAAAAATACATTATTGTTTTTTAAAAATACATTATTGTTTTTGGTTTTTTAAAAAATTAATCCTTGACTAAGAGTTTTTTTGAGAAACCTCGGAATCTTATATACCATCTCCAAATGCAGTTTATTTGGGCTATTCATGTGTTGACTCATAATACTTAATACTGGCAGAGTGTACATTATCCGACCTAGTATATGACAAGATTGATGAGTTTTCTTACCAATTTTTTATATCTTTTTTTTATTAACATACATACTCTCTTCTTTCATGTTAGGCTTCATTTTGGGCTCCATTGGAGTATCAACAAGTTTGCATCCAATCATCCATGTTTCGTTTAATAGATCTGGGGTGCATTTTATCTGTGATATAACATTACATTTCTTGAAACCTTCCTACCTTCATTTCAATAATAATATTTCATGTTTTCTATGTCCTTGATTTTAAACTCAGTGACAAACTCTTCTTTGATTTGAAGAACTTCTCTTTCATCATCGCTAGTATCATATCATCCACATATACGAACAATACAACAATTTTATCTCTCTGAGTGTATTTTTTGAATAATTTGTGATCGGTTTGGCTTTGAGAATATCCATTGGATTTCATAGTTATAGCAAATCTTTCAAGCTACACCTCTGGTGGCCATAGAGAAACTTCCTGAGTTTGCATACTAAGTGTTTGTTATAATCATTCTCAAGCCATGATAATTTCTATGTATACTTCTTCCAGATCCCCATTTAGGAAGATATCTTTATGTCAAATTGATGCAGCCCTTATTCCTCCTTATTTGCTACTAAAAAGAAAACTCTAATGGTATTTAGTTTTGCAACTGGTGTGAAAGTTTTCTGATAGTCAATCCCATACGCTTGCGTGAGATTTTTTGTAATAAGTCTGTGATACCAGAATTAACCAAAACCCCAATAGACATGCAAATATGGTGCTGAAATTTAAAATGGGTACAATGAAGACTCTTCAAAACAAGCAACAAATGATAACCACATAAAAAAGATACTCTAGGACGACAATGAAGGGGATGGGTGATGGTTGGCCGACAGGTGATAGGGCATGTTGGGGTAGAGACAACTGCGGGAACGTAAGTAAAGGGTGGTGGAAGGGTTAGGAGGGCTGAAGATAGATCTATGACAGCAGGTTGGATCCTGGGGATGGTGAAAGCCCCACGTCATTCAGGCTTTGAATTTCTCAATACTCCCATCAACTTTGTATTTGATGTTGAACCCCCACTTGCATCCAAATAGTTTTTTTGTCCTGAGGGAGTTTCATAAGAATCCACCTGCCATAATGCTATAGTGCTTGAATATTTTTTCACTACTTTCCTCTTTTCTGAATTTGAAGAGCTTCATGAATGGATTTAGGAATGTACACATTATTAATGTTAGATATAAATGCTCTATAAGTTGAGGATAGCTTCCCATAAGCTAAATACTCCTGAATTGGGTATCTGGACTTTTCTTGTCATTAACACTAAAAGATGAAGGGGATAAGTTATGAATGCTAGACTTATCCTCACCCAAAATTTCAGGTAAGTGTGGACACAAGTTTTGGCAGGAGCAGTTCTATTTCTGCAACTTGTCTTCTACTTGCTCAAGTTTTTTCCTCCTCGTTGTGTACACACGAAGTTTTTTTTTGTGGACTCAGGTTTGGTTGGTTGGATATCCTTAACAAGAGTATGAGAGTCGGTGGAAGAGAAGTAGGAAGAGGAGTAAGTGGGGTTGTTGTGTAAGTGTCATCAAATGCAACCCAAAATTAATAATCATTGCTCTCCCCCTGAACAACAAATTCGGGATTGTATGATTGTTTTTCAAAAAAATGTGACATCTATGGTGTTGTAATATTTTTTTGTAACATGAGCACTTATACCCATTCTCTTTGAAGACATACCTAAAGAAAATACACTTTATGAATTTTGGGCAAGTTTTTGCGGTTTAGTTCATAAATGAGGATAAAAGAGAACCAAATGTTTTTAGAGGAAGATTGCACGGGACTGCTCTAACATGAGGCATTTTTCCATTAAAACGGAGAGAGGGACTAACGAAGGCATTTGTCACGAGCCAATCCAGAGCATGGAATTAACTAAGACGTGTACAATCGGTTAAATAGTTGAAATAATTTTTTTTTATATTCATTTTTCATAACCAACATTTAATAAATGAAACAATCACTAACGAAAACAATTTAAACAATACGGTTCAATCAATCTCATTTCTGATTTTCTGCTTCTGCTACAGATATTTTATCTTCTATTAATAGTCTTTTAATCAAATGGTTAAACCTGAAGTATATTTTAAAATAATTATGAGCTAACCATAACCAGTGAATACTCATACTTCTAAACTATAATAACATAATTAAAAGAGAATAATATGCATGTCAGTTAACTTTTATGTAAATCAATCTAAGAGCAGATGAAAACTTGCACAATCGAATATGATCGTTCAATACAATTTTAGATATTAACTATGTCATTATGTGTCATTTACATATCAATATATTTTTAATATGTATACAATTGTTATATGAGCATTGTCATAAATTGTATCAATGAATGTACATCAATATCAATATCATTTTTCATTTACATGCACGAGTACTTAATATTCCGCCGTTAGCACCATAAAAAAGTGAACTTCGTCATAGTCAAGTATGCACATACAAGCATATTACAAAAATCATTATCAAAAAATGAATATTTCAATCTCATTCATAAAACAATCAATATACTTGTATAATATTCAATAACTATGATAATTTAAATAATATTGAGTACATAATGCAGCAATATGAACAAAAATTCAATAGAACTATAAATCATGAATATGCAGTGATATAAATATAACAAGTAACAATAACACTAAATATATTTGGTCGAGAAAAAATAAAGTATTACTATAACATAAGAGCATAAGTACTCACCTCAACCATTGATGACTCCCATGTCAATTGTTCTCATATCCTATCTCCAATAAAAATCTATAATCAAATATATAAGAGATTATTATTAATTGATTATAAGTTAATCTTAATATTAGAAAGCAATTTGCCTTTATTTTATGTTCTCCAATTTCATTTTGTTAAATTTATTTTAAGCTTTAACACAAACACACACACACACACATCCTCAATCTTAAATATTCAAAAATAAATAAAAAAATAAAAATAAAAAAATAACCGTAACCTTACGGTTCCTGCTCTTGGCTATAGCCTTCCTTACACTATGCATGCCCTCCATCTCAAGTCTCAACAAATAATTCATATCCATGCTCCACCACTTGGACAAACCAAGAAAATGCCATTGGCCTAACCCTAATCCCCTCCGAGCATCACCAATAGTCAGCATACACCTCAACAAGCAAAAGAGTGTGTCATCCTTCAATGTACTCCCACCACAAACACTTCAACCTCAAGTTAAAAGGATCAATGTTATCCTTGCTAATACAAACATGAAAAAACCTCAAGTTAATAGTAGTCATTTTTGTGATTACCTTGCTACTCTATGAGCGGTTAAGGAAATAATACAATGCATGCTCAAAGAAGAGCGGCAATACACATAAGTGGAGGATGAAATGAATGAAGATGAGAATTATAAGAAGATGAAATATTACAATGCCCGACCAATAGCTCAAAGATGTTTTGATGAAGAGAGCAAAAGCTTAATAACCTCATCACGAATACTTTATACCAACAGATCATGTCAACTCTTAATACCTTTTTTAGGCAGTTGGGACGACACAATTCTCTTAAGAGAAAAAGTGGTGCTGAGAAGAATCTGGCCGTTATACATATAGTTGTATTAAACATCTAACTTCTAACATGCATGAAGATTTGCATGTGCATGTTAAATTATAGGATAATTTTGATAGTGTATTCATGCACTACAAATGGAATGTGATAAACAGATTAGTTTCAATTTATGCTAATTTATTATACATACTATAAACAAGAATAATTATTGTGCCACTATTCTAATATACATCAATCACAAAATAAACTTGTTAATCATTGAATGGCATTGAATCATGAATGGGCTGTTCTTTATCTCCAAGCTAAACAAATTTCATCCCAAGATAAATATTTAATATATTCTTATGACCTTTTTCAATCTAAGACAACCTTAATTCCAGAACAAAACAATATTGGCAAGGCCATTTTTCTTTTCTTTTTTTTTTAAAGACAAACAGAACTACCATTCTTATTCATGGCTTCCTTTGGTCTTCAAAAATTCATTCGTGACAGGTTTTTTCTTCACATTTTCAACCATCACATTAGCATTGACTCCAGCTTATTTAAAAAGAATTAAAAAAAAAACAAAAAATAAATTCCAACTAAATTTCTGGGCTGTAAAACCAAAAAAGAATTGAGCAATATCACAGCATCTCTATACATAATTAAAAACAAGGAATGCCCCAAGAGTATGTTGACCACAGCTATGGAATACCAATTCATGTTGAATTCATGAAATAATTATGGCAAATGTGTTATTCATAAAAAGTACCGATTTTTTTTCTGGAATTCAAACATCATCTGCTCTGTAAACAAGGAATGATCTGCTGTTTGTATAACTGGAAGCAAAAGCCAACCCTGCTGAGGTAGGTGGAGAGAATGCACACTCTGAGATCTCCAAAACTTCTCCTGCGCAGAAACTCTTCCTGAAAAGGACCAAATTTTAGAAACAATTAGATAAATTAGAACTTATCAGCTATAGAAAAAGTTGAGCATATAAATAAAATCCTTACAACTTTTACCTAACAGCATCCAATAACTGAGTGGCAATTGTCTTCCTTCTACTGGATGGCACCACCCAAATGGCCATAAGGCCGCACTTGGCCGAAAGAGCATTCTCCTCACAGATTATAGCACCACTGTCCCATTTTTTCAATTTGGTGCTGGTTGTGGGGCAAGAATTCTTTACAGATTCTCTGCAGAATCTGAAATCTCCGAACTGAAGAGTGGTTTCTTTTGATTTCTTTGTATCTGTAAGGTCCATTTTGTCAATAGTAGAGATTTCTGTGCTTTTATTGCCAAAGAAAGAGGTTGGGATAACTCTATGGGCTGTTCGTATGGGTTCAGCAACAAGCCATCCAACAACTCTATGGGCAGAAATAAAGAGATAAACCTGAAGTATAGGAAAAAACCATTTGTTACAAGCAAGAGGAGAAGTAAATTCCAATAATTTCCTAATTACAAAATGTTCCCTTTTGAATGAACAGTTATATTATGCAAATTTCCAACCTTGTTGTAGACCAAACTTGTTTACCTTACAAAGCGCGTGGAGGATATTATCATCAACAAACCCAAGTTCCTTCTTTGTCGCCTTAACCACCTTTTGAACCTGCCAGTAAAAGCATTGCGGTGAAAGTTCAAATCTTGGCATTGATTACTTGATTCAAATCTTACCACTTAATTCGTATGTATTTACATATCTAACACCTAAACTTCAATTTTTACATGCAAGCCACATTCCTTGTGCATGAAAAGTTGTACTTGACAGTTCTAAAGTTAAAAGGATGGCATTTTTCATGCCATAAGAAGATATGTGAGGTGTAAATGTAAACAGTAAGTTTAGTTCCTAGATAATACATAGGAATTGGGCAGTATGTAAATGCCCCAGCAACATAATAATAGAAAGGGGCAATTACATACAGACTACCTGAAACTTACTATTAAAAATCAACCACGCTCTTTCATCCATTTTTCAAAATGACACTCAAGCATCAAAATTCATATTAAAACCCCAGCCCATGTTTTTCATTTTTATCAAATTCTCAATAGTTTGATCGTGACTGCGTAAATACATCTGCGTAAATACATCGATTCTATAGACATCGATTCTATAGTTCCGGGTGGTCTGTATGTAGTTATCCCTACAAAATAACAGTTGATTGCATAATCAGTGCTCAAAAAGAGAATTTTTTGATGCTGAACGAAGGCCTCAACTACAAATATATTAAAATTGTGATTTTTTTTAGATAAATCTGCAATTTGTTCCACTCATCCTATAACTATAAGGACAGCAGAATATAATATGAAATCGACTAATAGTTTCCCAAAAAAGAAAACTAAAACGAAATAAATCAATACCAAGCGTTTTTGAGCGGACGAGTCAGTATCCAAGACCAGTAAGATGCGATCCCCATTAATCCATGGACCATCTACAACTCTCTCATTCTGCCAACCCTGCAAAAAAATCGAAATTAAATGCACAATACTCACCGACGGCCTGCCAAATATGAAGGAAAAATTTTAAAAAACAGAGACCTTGAAACGAATTCCCCTCTCATAGTCCTGATGGAACTTACGGTGAACCTGCTCGTCCTCTTCTACTCCACGAGCATACATCAGTCCACATAAAGAACAAGCACACAGCATGAAATCCGATTGTCCTAAATCCAAATGATATTGTTCGCATCTTCTCTTCTTACTGAAATTTCTGCTGTCTTTTGACGATATGCCAATCTTTTTGTTCTCAAAATAACGTTTCGATGGCGGAAACTCGTCAGAATTACTGATCAGAAGAAAGCCACAACATATCGTTACCAGGAAAAACCAGACCAAAATCTTCAAAGGACATTATTGCCAGAATGGAGATTTTATACTGATTAGACATTGATCGTAAGCTTAGAACCTCTTGGGATGTAGAATGTTGTCCTTTAAACCTAATTTTACTGGGGGATTTGGATCGAACACTCCAGAGAAAAGATCCCAATGTTTTATCTCCTTCTGAAACGGATGTGGCTGTTGGGAGGGTTGGAAGAAAGAGCTGATTTTGGGTTGCGGCATTTTCGGTAATAGAGAAGCCGGAGCAGCAAGCCACCGAGCGACCGGGTGAGAAAATCAGCAAACCCGAGCGACGTGTCACTCCCGACTTAAATACTGCTTGTCTGCACTGCACCTAGTGGTCGGCCCTACACCTAGTGGTCGGCCCTACACCTAGTGGGACTATTTGTCCGTGACATTCTCCTCCACCCAATTACGTGACGCCCTCGTCACGGATGAGCTCCACTGGACCATGAAGAGTCCACACACCTGGCAGGCAGTAATCTGCTCTGATACCACTTGTCACCTCCCAAAAAAACCCTTATGGGTGGTGGGCAGCCCAAGACTTAAATCCTGCTTTTCGGCCCTACACCTAGCCGATGCGGGACTATTTGTCCGTGACAGACGGGTCTGCAAGCGACCCGGGAGGGAAAGAAAATGCACAGCGCGAGCAGCAATCGACCACGACCGGAGAAGATCGAGCGGCAAGCGACCGGGGAGGGGAAGAAAATCCGCAGCGAGAGCAGCAGTCGACCGCGACCGGGGAAGAAAATACATAGGTTATGGTATGTCTAGATTCATGTCAATAAATGTTGAATAATTTTTTGGTATGCATGTAAACATGAATGCATTAAGTGTAACAATATAAATACATAAGAATTGTAGGGTATGTACAAATATAAATGTATTAAAAGCATGCTCGTACATAGTGTCTCGAGCATTGAATGGTCTAATCAGGTTTTGATATCAAGAAATTCACATATGTAGCCCACAATTTTTATGTATTTAAATATCCAACACCTATACTTTGATATTTACATACATAACTTACAACATATCAGCATTTCAGTGCTTTAAACTTATCCATGAAAAATATATATTTCACTTTTTAGCATTGACACTAATATTATTTTTATGTGATCTTAAAAGTCTTGAGCGCTATGTTTATATGTTTACATAGTAAGATGCTCGCCTTCTAACATGAAGTATTAGCCACCGTTACGATTATGTTACCAGATTTGAGTTGTATGCATGTACATATGAATGCTTGAATGTTAATTCATGAAAATTATGTGATATGTAC